TGAAAGACCCAAGAGGAAGCGGAGGAGCAGGTCCAGGTGTCCATTTGGACTCTGTAAGGCCTGGTCCACAGCTGTCTGATGAAGATGCTTTAGTTTTTTTTTTCTTCACACTGAACTTTGTAGTCTTCTGTGTTTTCTGTGAGAGCAGGTTGATCCCAGTGTTGATGAAGGTCTGATGGACGTGAAGAGCAGCCAGAAACTCCTGCACACTCAGATGGATGAAGCAGTAGACCTTGTCCTGGTACAGGCCTGGCTCCTCTCTAAAGACCTGTGTGAACACTCCGGAGTACACTGAGGCCGCTGCAGCGTCCAGCCCACACTCGCTCAGGTCACTCTCGGAGAAGATCAGGTTTCCTTTCTGCAGCTGCTCAAAGGCCAGTTTTCCCAGAGACTCCACCATCTTCCTGGTTTCTGGACTCCAGTGTGGGTCGGTCTCAGATCCTTCTTCATACTTGATGTTCTTGACTTTGGCCTGAACCACCAGGAAGTGGATGTACATCTGGGTCAGGGTCTTGGGCAGCTCTCCTCTCTCTCTGCTTTTCAACACATGCTCCAGGACTGCGGCAGAGATCCAGCAGAAGATCGGCAGGTGGCACATGATGTGGAGAATTCTGGACGTCTTGATGTGGGAGATGATTGTGTCGGCCTCATCTCTGAACCTCTTCCTGAAGTACTGCTCCTTCTGCGGGTCGGTGAACCCTCTGACCTCTGTCACCATGGAGACGCACTCAGCAGGGATCTGATTGGCCGCCGCGGGTCGTGTGGTTATCCAGAGGCGAGCGGAGGGAAGCAGACTCCCCCTGATGAGGTTCACCAGCAGCACGTGCACTGAGGCGGACTCTGTGGGGTCGGTCAGGGCCTCGGTTTTGGTGAAGTCCAGAGGAAGTCTGCACTCGTCCAGACCGTCAAAGATGAAGAGCACCTGGAGGTCTTCAAAGCTGCAGAGTTCTGCTTCTGTTTGACTAAAGAAGTGACGAACAAGTGTCACCAAGCTGAAGCTTCTCTCCTTCAGCACATTGAGTGCTCTGAAAGTGAACGGGAACAGCAGCTGTATGTCCTGGTTGGCTTCACCTTTAGCCCAGTCCAGACTGAACTTCTGAGTGAGCACTGTTTTCCCGATGCCAGCCACTCCCTTTGTCAGCACTGTTCTGATGGCTCCATGTGTGTGAGCTGGGCCTTTAAACATGTCTTCACATGTGATGGCTGTCTCTGCTGGGCCTGGTGTCCTGGAGGCTGTTTCCATGTGTCTGACCTCATGTTCCTGGTTGACCTCTGAAGACTCTCCCTCTGTGATGTAGAGCTCTGTGTAGATCTCATTCAGAAGGCTGGAGTTCCCTGCTTTAGCGATGCCCTCAAACACACACTCAAACTTCTGCTGCAGGTCAGACTTCAGTTTACTCCGACAAACTCCAGAATAAGTCCCTGAATGAAGACAACAGATACAGACCTGAGTCTCAGAGAAGATAAAATGACTGTAAGATCCTTGTTAAATGTGTTAAATGGTCCTACTGCTCCACAGACGCTCAGCCAGCTCCTTCTGCTTCATCCTCCTCAGGAAGTTCAATGTGATCTTCAGAACAGCCTCACTGCAGCTCCTCTGCTCTTCATCCTCATCCTCCCCAGGATCTAAGCCTTCTGGCTCATCTGTACTCAGAACCTTGTGGAGCTTCTTCAGCTCCTTCTGGACAAAAGTGAAGATGTCCTCCTCCAGAAGCTGAACAGACACATTATAAACAACACAAATGCACTCAGTATCAGATCTGTGTGAAACAGGCTTCATTCATTTGAACATTTACAAACTTTATGGTCTGAATGACAGACCTTAAATATGGAGTCCAGCTGTGTGTGATGGTGCTGACCACTGGAGACCTCTGGACCCGGCTGCTCCCCTCTGTCACANTTCTTCAGCTCAAACTGGTCCAGATCTTCTTCTGATGACAGTAAGATGAAGGCCAGAGCTGACCACTGAGCAGGAGACAGTCCACCTTCAGACAGACGTCCTGATCTCAGGTACTGTTGGATCTGCTCCACCAGAGAACGATCATTCAGTTCATTCAGACAGTGGAGCAGGTTGATGCTCCTCTCTGCAGACACATCCTCACTCAGCTTCTTCTTGATGTACTCAGCTGTTTTCTGATTGGTCTGGGAACTACTTCCTGTCTGTGTCAGCAGACCTTGTAGAAGGCTCTGATTGGTTGACAGTGAAAGACCCAAGAGGAAGCGGAGGAGCAGGTCCAGGTGTCCATTTGGACTCTGTAAGGCCTGGTCCACAGCTGTCTGATGAAGATGCTTTAGTTTTTTTTTCTTCACACTGAACTTTGTAGTCTTCTTCTGTGTTTTCTGTGAGAGCAGGTTGATCCCAGTGTTGATGAAGGTCTGATGGACGTGAAGAGCAGCCAGAAACTCCTGCACACTCAGATGGATGAAGCAGTAGACCTTGTCCTGGTACAGGCCTGGCTCCTCTCTAAAGACCTGTGTGAACACTCCGGAGTACACTGAGGCCGCTGCAGCGTCCAGCCCACACTCGCTCAGGTCACTCTCGGAGAAGATCAGGTTTCCTTTCTGCAGCTGCTCAAAGGCCAGTTTTCCCAGAGACTCCACCATCTTCCTGGTTTCTGGACTCCAGTGTGGGTCGGTCTCAGATCCTTCTTCATACTTGATGTTCTTGACTTTGGCCTGAACCACCAGGAAGTGGATGTACATCTGGGTCAGGGTCTTGGGCAGCTCTCCTCTCTCTCTGCTTTTCAACACATGCTCCAGGACTGCGGCAGAGATCCAGCAGAAGATCGGCAGGTGGCACATGATGTGGAGAATTCTGGACGTCTTGATGTGGGAGATGATTGTGTCGGCCTCATCTCTGAACCTCTTCCTGAAGTACTGCTCCTTCTGCGGGTCGGTGAACCCTCTGACCTCTGTCACCATGGAGACGCACTCAGCAGGGATCTGATTGGCCGCCGCGGGTCGTGTGGTTATCCAGAGGCGAGCGGAGGGAAGCAGACTCCCCTGATGAGGTTCACCAGCAGCACGTGCACTGAGGCGGACTCTGTGGGGTCGGTCAGGGCCTCGGTTTTGGTGAAGTCCAGAGGAAGTCTGCACTCGTCCAGACCGTCAAAGATGAAGAGCACCTGGAGGTCTTCAAAGCTGCAGAGTTCTGCTTCTGTTTGACTAAAGAAGTGACGAACAAGTGTCACCAAGCTGAAGCTTCTCTCCTTCAGCACATTGAGTGCTCTGAAAGTGAACGGGAACAGCAGCTGTATGTCCTGGTTGGCTTCACCTTTAGCCCAGTCCAGACTGAACTTCTGAGTGAGCACTGTTTTCCCGATGCCAGCCACTCCCTTTGTCAGCACTGTTCTGATGGCTCCATGTGTGTGAGCTGGGCCTTTAAACATGTCTTCACATGTGATGGCTGTCTCTGCTGGGCCTGGTGTCCTGGAGGCTGTTTCCATGTGTCTGACCTCATGTTCCTGGTTGACCTCTGAAGACTCTCCCTCTGTGATGTAGAGCTCTGTGTAGATCTCATTCAGAAGGCTGGAGTTCCCTGCTTTAGCGATGCCCTCAAACACACACTCAAACTTCTGCTGCAGGTCAGACTTCAGTTTACTCCGACAAACTCCAGAATAAGTCCCTGAATGAAGACAACAGATACAGACCTGAGTCTCAGAGAAGATAAAATGACTGTAAGATCCTTGTTAAATGTGTTAAATGGTCCTACTGCTCCACAGACGCTCAGCCAGCTCCTTCTGCTTCATCCTCCTCAGGAAGTTCAATGTGATCTTCAGAACAGCCTCACTGCAGCTCCTCTGCTCTTCATCCTCATCCTCCCCAGGATCTAAGCCTTCTGGCTCATCTGTACTCAGAACCTTGTGGAGCTTCTTCAGCTCCTTCTGGACAAAAGTGAAGATGTCCTCCTCCAGAAGCTGAACAGACACATTATAAACAACACAAATGCACTCAGTATCAGATCTGTGTGAAACAGGCTTCATTCATTTGAACATTTACAAACTTTATGGTCTGAATGACAGACCTTAAATATGGAGTCCAGCTGTGTGTGATGGTGCTGACCACTGGAGACCTCTGGACCCGGCTGCTCCCCTCTGTCACAGAGACACATGAAACATGCATCATTATTATTTATTATTTATATATTGTTCTTATGATCAATGCTTTTGAAAACTCGTGGCTCTGTGGCAAAATGATGTGTCTCTCCCATAGAGCGGTCACTCCTGAGGGACTCACAGGTGGGGGACTCTTCAGAACACTCTGCTCTGTGCTGGAGTCTGCTGGATTTAATTAACAGGAAAATACATTTGAACTTTAAATTCAAATGATAAACCAGAGCACTGAGCAAATCTCACACCAATGATTTTTTTAAATATAGTTTTACCCTAAACTTTAACTTTTTAATTATAGTGACTGAGTCTTTACTTTGACAAACTAAGGAAACTTTCACTTGAACAGAATTAGAGAAACACTAAATAATCCGTATACCAGATATAACTCCACATATACTTCTAATATCATGCACCATAATACACAGCGCTCACTCACAGCTCTCTCTCCTGAAGAATATTGGATGTATCATAGACCAGTCACTCCTGAGGGACTCACAGCTGGGACCAGGTTCAGACGGAGGATGTTTCCTGGTGGATCCTGAGACACAGAAGAAAACACACTTCAGTCACAGTAAAACACATGGGACTGTTGTGACTCAGGTCAGATACTTCAGGAGGTTCTACAAAGTGTTCATGAGGCCTTCACCACAGACGCTTCAGTACAGCTCATTCAACAACAAACACATCCAGTTTAGATATTTTTAAAGTTTGAATGATGGAACAAAGAACAGACTTGTGTGTATCATTCTGATTTGAATGTGATTCTCTGTGAACTGTGGACCACTCCTGGACATGTTTTTTATTTCATTAAAACCACATCACCCACATTATATCCAAATGTTTGTTCACTTAAAGTGTGACATTATAAGGTGTTGTGAGTGTGACTTACTGTGGACCATGTTCTCTTTTCAAATCAATCCCTCCATCATTAGAGCGATCACTGTTGAATGAGTGGGCGCTGGTCCCAGGAGCAGGTCTGTGGACACAGATGGAGCAGTGGCTTTAGTCTGAGCTCTGACATGGAGAACAGTGGTGGAGCGTTAGAGATGGTCCCTTACCTCTGAGCTTTGGGGGGGTGAGTGGTTTTAGAGGGAGGGGCTCCGTCCTCTCTGTGCTCTCTCTGATCCATGCTCTGTTCATTTGCTTCAAAAGGAAAAACACACAAAACATTCATCCCAAACAACACTAATGTTTAAACATGTCACACAAATGTTTCTCTCCTCAACACACTTACATTATTATGTCAGCCCTGTTTGGAAACGGACTGATTTGGTCCAGATCAGAGTTTGTTTGTCTTTATTCACACCTGAAATAAAATCCAGACTTTCAGGGAATTGAACTCCCGTCCGTTGGAATCAGACTGAAGCCCAAACCAAAACTCTGATGAGTTAATAGAGCAACTTTATCACCGCAGAGTTCAACACTGTGGTTTACAAAGAACAACATGTAAAATAACACTTTACACAGAACCACATGTAAAATATCACTTTACAAAGAACAACATGTAAAATATCACTTTACAAAGAACAACATGTAAAATATCGTCCAGTTCGTCTCTAAGTTTAGAGCAGTGCTTCTCAAACTGTGGTGCGAGTCCCACTAGTTCAGATATTTGCTGAATTCATTGAATCCACATTTTTGTTCTCCTTTGGGTCAGTCCTTGGTTGTGTTTGTTGCACTGAAAAAGGTTTTTCAAAAACCTGCGTCCTTATTGTGAGTTGGCTTGCCTCTCCACAAACCTGACTCTCATTTGTCCTGAAGGAGGCTCTCCTCCTCCTCATGCCTCCTCCACAAATGCACACAGTGTTCCTCTAATGAATGCATTTGAACGGGAAATGTTGTAGAACAAAAGCTGCTACGAAATGTCCCAAATGTGAAAAGAAGTTGATTGTATTTGAAAGTATTTTTCAGTCTCTCCACAGTTTGAGGAAATAAGACACAGGAATAAGAGCCACACCTTTGGACTGGAGCAGCACATCACCAGACCAACGCCTCACACTGCACAAGACAAACATACATCTGTGTGTGGACTATTTCCTCGCTTTGTTTCACTCTTTTCTTTGCTTTATATTTGACTTGTTGCCTCTGATTTCTTGTTTTTTGTGTTATTAGTTTGAATGGTGTCCATGGTTACAGAAAGTGATCAGAGTGTTAAACAGTGCAAATGGACTGACGTTCTACAGCACACAGTGTTGGCTCCAACTTACTCACTTCTACTTAGTTACTGTCATTGGATTACAAGTACCTCAGTAGTGTAACGCACGAGTGTGAAAATCCTGGAGCTGAAATGAGGCCGGTGTCCTGTCGATTTGAGCTACTGCACATGTGCTCAACCCCCGAGCGCTGTGATACTTTAAATGCCGTCGATTTTATAACATTTTAAATTGTTATGGTTTTATTGTTTGTTCCAGTTAAACATTGATGTGTGCATGTTAGATTTGCAGCAGAAAACCTACGTTACATGATTGAATAGTTTGAATTTAATGTTTGATTTTATCGTTAAATCGTTGCAACTTTGTTTAGAAAATCACTGTATAAATAAAATATCACTATATTATAACAGGAAATTCACTTTGGAGCCTGTGATATTAGTGTTAATTATTATATATCTAACACTATTTAATCTAAAGATTTGAGTGTTTCACTCATTTCTTTCTCTTCTTTAGTGGAGTTTTATTTGATATTCAGATCTGGGCCTGTGGAAATGAACTCTGCCCAAATTCATCTAAATGTCTGAATAATGTTGATTGTTCAGTGGGACATTATTGGAGGAGAAATTGTCCTGTGGATCTGTGTGAACTTTAGAACACGACTGTCCACATGAACCACACACTCACATCAATGAACCACACACATTCACATAAATGAATTTAGATTTGACACACATCAAACCCGTGTCTCTGATCCAAAGAAACATGTTGTCAAACTGGTTGTGGTTTGGTTTTCTTGAGGCTGTAACTAAGTAGTGTAATAGATTACATTTTGAACAAGTAACTAGTAATGAGTAACTAAAGAGTTTTTCAAAATCACTTCCCCAACACTGAACAACACACAACGTCACAATGAAGTGTTGACATCATGAAATAAACAGAATGATGTTTGAACGACTAAAAGGAGCTCTTGGTTTCTTCATTAAGGCTCAGACAATAAACTAGAGCAGGAGACAAAGACTTTTACACATCAGTTACTGCAAACCAGACGGAAAATACTGCTTTTATAACCAAACACAAACAATACAAATGCACTTTAGAAAGAATCAAGTCAAACCTTGTTTGAACAGCTGAAAGAGGCAAAGAGAACGCGTCTTTAACACCAGCAAATGTTCAGTTTTTATAATCACTATCAATAACTTCCTCATGTTTCACAGACAACACAAGAATCCAGTTTGACAGGTTCAGTGTGTGTGTGTGTGTGTGTGTGTGTGTGTGTGTGAGCTGCCTCCTCATGGCAAAGACTTTCACTGTCGATGTGTTTTTGACACTGGTTAATAATCAATAAGATAAATTCACAAACGGGAGGAAAAAATGAATGCCTGAACATTTATTCATATTTTATCATGAATGAAGCAGAGCTTCATGTCGGCCCTCGAGTCTGGTTCCTTTGCGAAAGCTCAGAGAAGATGTTCATTTTGTCTTTTTCTGTTCTTTCACTTCTTGTTTTTTTTTTTTTTAAGACAATACAGTAAACAACTGATGATTAGTATTGGATTTCGTAAATGGTGTTGCAAAACACAAAAATGGAACACCATTTACGAAATCCAATACTAATCATGCAATAAATCCCACACAGGGGAAACAGGCCAGACATTTCACATCTGAGAAAAAGAACACCAAAAGGAATGTGAGAAGGAAACATCAGGGAGACTCACCAGAACACAAAAAGACATAGAACAGGACAACCTCAAATCTGTCATATCAGAGCGCTGTAAAATAAAGAACCACATTCTGGACTGGGATGGGGCTCGGGTCATTGGATCAGAGAACAAAGAGTTCAAACGTTGGATCAGGGAGGACAGTGAAATCAGGAAACGAGGCACAGACAGCATTAACCGTGATGACGGAGCGTTCCTCCTTTCACTCACCTGGGACGCCCTCCTCCAGAGAACACCGAGCGACGGGAGGCGTGGTCAGTCTGAGCGACCTGCAGGTCCATCAGACTGACCACGCCCACAGGAAGTAACAACAGCTGATATACGACACGTCACCACCAACACCGGGGACAGTTCTGAAGATGGCCTGCAGTTAGCAGCCGAAACATGTCAACAAGGTAAATACACTTTATTTTATTGAAACCAAGAAGTTAAAATTGTCATACAGGCTTTAGAAACCTGGTGACCAAGGACAGCCTGGTGACCAAGGACAGCCTGGTGACCCTGGGGAACATGGAGGCCCTGGAGAGCCTTCTGGTCCAGGAGAGAGCCCTGTGGTCCAGAGGAGCCTCGTGGTCCAGGGGAGCTCGCTGGCCCAGGAGAACCTGGTGGCCCAGGAAAGGCTGGTGGCCCTGAAGAGCTTGGGGAGCCTGGAGAGCCTGGAGAGCCTTGAGAGCCTGTTGGTCTAGGTGAGCCTTATGACACAGGAGAGGCTGGTGGCCCTGGAGAGGGTCGGGAACCTGGAAAGCGTTGTGGTCCAGAGGAGAGCCTGCTGGCCCTGAAGAACCTGATGATGAACCCAATGAACCTCGTGGCCCTGGAGAGCATGGTGGCCCAGCAGAAGCTGGTGAACCTGGATCATCAATATCTTCAGGTCCCTGGGGAACCTGATGGCCCTGGAGAGGCTGGCGGCCCAGGACGACCTGGTGGCCAGGAGAGCCCGGGGCCCAGGAGAGCCCGGGAGCCCAGGAGAGCCCGGGAGCCCAGGAGAGCCCGGGGGCCCAGGAGAGCACGATGGCCCAAGACAGGCTGGTGGCCCAGGAGCGCTTGGTGGCACAGCAGAGGCTGGTGATCCTGGAGAGCCGTGTGGTCCAGAGGAGAACCTGGTGGTCCAATGGAGCCTGTTGGCCCAGGAGATCCTGGTGGCCCTGAACAGGCTGGTGGGCCTGAAGAGCTCGGGGAGCCTGGAGAGCCTGGTGGTGTAGGGGAGCTCCGTGACCCTGAAGAACTTGGTGGCCCTGAAGAACCTGGTGGCTCCTGAGAAGCTGTTGGCCCTGGAGAGCATGGTGGAGCCTGAGAGGGCGGGGCTGAGGGGGCGGGGTTTTTAAGATGCAGACTCTGCCACAGTTTGTACAGAAGCTTGTGGCTCTGCATCACACTGAAAGAGAAGATACAAACACAGTTAATGATTTTAAGGAGAAATGTTGTGATCTTAGAGCTTTGAATCCAGCTCTCGACATAAACATCACTGGGAGAGCAGATTCACTGACCAACAGGTTGGTGATTCCTGCTCCCACAAATGAATGTTGCTGTCACTTAATGCCCCTCAACCCCAGTGTCTGTGTACACAGGTGTATGTATGTAGTAGTAGTATGTAGTATGTAGTATGTAGTATGTAGTATGTAGTATGTGTATAGTATGTATGTATAGTATGTATGTAGTATGTAGTATGTAGTATGTAGTATGTTGTATGTATGTAGTATGTAGTATGTAGTATGTATGTAGTATGTGTATGTAGTATGTTGTATGTAGTATGTAGTATGTAGTATGTTGTATGTAGTATGTAGTATGTAGTATGTAGTATGTTGTATGAAGTATGTAGTATGTAGTATGTAGTATGTAGTATGTAGTATGTAGTATGTAGTATGTAGTATGTAGTATGTAGTATGTTGTATGTAGTATGTTGTATGTAGTATGTAGTATGGAGTATGGAGTATGTAGTAGCAGTAGTGTGTGCGAGGGGACAGTGGGTACTCACTATTTAGGCTCCGCACCCTTGAGGTGGCTCATGGTGAGGAAGGGGTGCTCGAGCACCTCCTTGGGGCTGATCCTGGTCTCTGGGTTGAGGTCCAGCATACGTGTGAGCAGGTTCACAAAGACGGCCCGGTCGTGCTTCTCTGTGGGGGTACAGGAGGCCAGAGGACCCCGGGGGTCTCTCTGAAACACACACACACACACAAAGGGTCACATCTGCACCTGTGGCTCGACTTTACAATGTTACAATCACAACTCTGACATCAACTGCCCCAACCGTATGTGAGCTGAATCTATCAACACAACTGTGGCTGGAGGTGGGGATGTGCCTTGCTCAGGAGCACTACGACACTAGTGTGAAGCAGCAGCACTTGAGTTGGTGGCCGACACCTCTTTTGTTTTACAAAACCCTAACACACATGACTTTGAGACAGTTTAGAACTCAACCTGTGCCCTGAGTAAAAATGAGATGTGCTCTCACCTGGTGGATGTTCTCCAGACGTGTGACCCTGAGAGGGGTCTCCAAACTACACTGAAACAAGAGCACACAATTACTTACATATATATACATATCACACACACACACACAGAGTGATGACACATATAGCAGTGAACAGAAGGAGCTGGACGTACTTCATATATCCACTTGTCTTTGTAGAAGCTGTAGAAAAGTGTGGTCCAAAGACCCTGGTCCAGACATGACATGGGAGGATGTCCTACAGTCTCCACGATGAGATTCATCAGCTCCCACTCATTTTCAGCCCCAAAGAGACGAACTCCCAGGAACATCTCAGCGGCAATGCAGCCCAGGGACCACATGTCTATGGCCCCACTGACAGGGGCCTGGAGGATGCTCTCTGGAGCTCTGCACACAAACATTTTACACTCTGTTAGAACCACCTGCAAGCAACTGTTGTGGACCACAGCAGTATGTTAAACTATCCTATATGTACTTGTAGAAGTACTTGAGTAAAGTAGCACAGTACTGTGTACTGTCATACCTGTAACAGAGAGACTGTCTCTGCTTTCCCTGCATGGGTTCTCTCACTGAACACGCCAGGCCAAAGTCGATGATCTTGACTGACAGCGGCTTCTCCACGTGATCCTCCATCATGATGTTCTCCGGTTTCAGATCAGTGTGCATGATGCCCTCACGCTGAAGGAACAGGAGAGCTCGGGCCATCTGCAAACACACGTTACACACAGGACACGTTAGTACAATATCACGCTTGATAACATTTTGAAGATTATTTGGTCAAAGTGTGGTGCAGGGGCGTGTGTCTGTACCTGCCAGATGATCGGGCGGATCTCCATGAGGCTCAGACTCTTATCTGGCCTCTGGCTGAGAAACTGGGCCAGGTTGATGTCCAGCTTCTCAAACTCGTGGAATAATCTTCCAGAAGACTCAAAGGAGCCGAGCCAGCGCACCATGTGGACGTCGTGTGCGCCGCGTGCAGAGAGGACCTGGAGGATCTTCAGCTGTGGGGACAAAATATCAGTCATTCACAAGTCACACTTAAAGGAGATGTCTTATGTATGTATTGTACTTAAAACACTGAGTATGAGTGATCTGATTATGAGTGATCTGATTATGAGTGATCACATTTGTACTGGCCATGTGAGTGTGACCTCTTGTAGATGTGAGAAGAGACTGAATATGAAACATTAGTATCACATGTGACACGTAACCTGTTCAAACTGACCTCTTGAAGCCACGCTTCCTGGTCAAATGGTTCTTTCAGGATCTTGAGCACCACAATCTGACTGGTGGTGAGATTGTGGCAGAGACAGATGTTTCCGTACACCCCAGAGGCCCAGCACACTCTTGAGCTGATACACGGACGAGGCCGAGTAGATCAGATCTTCAGACCTCGGTGGTGACTCCATTATCTGTGGAGGGTGTGTGTACAAGTACAAGTACTATACAGAGCTGTGTACAAGTAAAGGTACAGGTATCGCGAGGGTAGGGGTACAAGTACAAGTATCAAGAAGCAGGAGCTGTGTAAATGTGTGTTCACTGTTCAAAGACCCAGAGAAAAGTGACGATCTGGACTGAACTTGCTTTCTAAGTAAGTCAGTCTTCCTTTATATAGCGCTTTTCACAGACATTTTATGTCACAAAGAAGCCAGTGGCCGGTTGCCGTGGTCACTGTTCTATGTTCTAAAACAGTAACCACGACAACGGGATTTAGTCACATGACAGTGGAATGTTCAAGAGTTCCGTCATTATATAATATTCTAATATATCAATGTCCATTTTATGTTCTGGTAAATATAGTTTTATGGTGATATTTGAAAACAAAACAAAACAATTAAATTTAAATAAATAAATAAATAAATAAATAATAAAAAGAAAAAACAGTTTAGCATGTAAAATTATAAACATAAATGATCCAAAAGTATTTGAACTGTAGGTACAGCAGACCTATTGTACAAAATGGACTTTACAGACCTTTGAACCATGTTATAGTAGTTTCTTGTCACACTTGACTCACCTGAAGT